ACTGTAAAATGTAACTTATCGGAAATATACAATAATAAAGTTATGGTCAAAGATGCCACTTAAAAAAAAAAAAAAAAAAAAAAAATTGATTATAATATTTTGATATCTAAATTTTTAGTAAAAAATATCTCATGATCTTGATATATTAATTACAGTATTATGTTATTTTGATCTGCACGTGAAAAATATTGATCACAAGTTCATATAGTTTCTCATTAGCTATGTCTAATATGTGTTTTGCTAATTGTAACTCAATATATTAAATTACTATTAATTCATACAATATGTTCTAAATTTTAGCTTTGTTTTTCGATATGATACTAAAATACAGATTTTTATTATTTGCATTTTTCTTTACTATTAATAATCATAGCTACTATTGCATAAATTCAAAAAGAATATGATGCAAGAAGCCTAGAACCGACATCACATGATTTATGACAATATATATAAATAAAATTATATCTACTTGATAAAAATAATATCTAAACTACCACATATTGAAAAACTTACTTGTTAGATTATTTAATTTTTGATGAATTTCTTTAATTGAATTTTGTGAATTAAAATATTGTGAAAAAATCTATATTTCAAAAATAAAAAAATCCAATTATAAACAATATTTAAAGTACTTAAAAGCAATTTTACTGACTTGTAAAAACAATTAAGGGACAATGTTTTCAGGAATCTGTCAGTGTTACTTATATTTTTTTACAGCAAATTCAATGGCAGCAAGTGATAATCCTTTTCTGTAAGAAATCATATATCACTATGCTCTTCTTGCAAACTTACAGATTGCTATAATATCTATAGAAGCAAGAGCTTCCGGTACAATATTTCGCAACCCTTGAAACATGTAATTGCAATGACTTCTTGCATATTTTTTTATTGCACCCAAAAATACTCAATATAGTTTAATTCTGGATGGAATTTAGGGTAAAAAATAATTTTATGACCTTGACTATACACAATTTTTTTAAGAACGTTTTTTTGTTTCATAAAATCTGGCTGTCTTGCTAACTTCTTCATGTTACAACAGGTCTTTTCTTCATCTTCTGAGCACTTAATACATTTATTCCTTAATTGTTGATTCCAAATATTCCTTTCTTTCATTACCTGTTTTATTCTCTTCAGATTTTCTTTTTTTTCACATTTTTATAATCAAGTAAAAAAACCATTTCTTGAGATGTACTGTTAGGTAATCGACCAGGATGCATTCATGGTTGTTTGCCACCATATTTTACATTTATTCTGCTTGCTACAAATGCATCTTCTGCAAAAGCACCATGACTCAAACTGTTATCAAATGCAAATACAAAAATTGTGCCTGGAAGTGCAATTTCCAAAACATCAATTGTTAGCTTAAGTTGTTCAGCAAGCAACTGAATATTTCAATCACTATTGTGGTTTACACCAACTTCAAGTGTCTCTGTAATATATTTATTTGGAATTTCTGGGTAGACTAAATGTTGCTCTACAGTTAAATGAACACATTCTAAAGGTTTACATAAAAATTCACTAATGTAAATACACCTGCCTCATCCCTTTGAACATAATTTTTGTTCACCTATTTGAAAAAAACAAATAAATAATTAAAAATAAATTTACCAAATAAATTAACCAGAAAAACACAAACCTCCAGGTCCCATCCAGTTTTTTTATCATCATTAGTGGTTAATGTTGTCTCATCATATATTATTACACAATGTGGTTTTTGATTAAGAGGAAGATTTTTTTTAACTAATATTAAATCATTCTCATTATATTCAATAAGAAGAGGTTCTAATTCAGCCATCATAGGTAAAAAAACTTCTTGTCAGTATCATACTACATACTTTTTAAATCACTTTAATGCAGTCCTTTCACTTATAGTTATTTTTTTTCAATGCCTAAAGATGGAAAGACTTGTTTTCTACAAATTCTTTTAGAACCTTGGGGTTCACACTAAACTTATTGCATTGTAAATATGATATTATCTATTTAAAAATAGAATTTTTGGTAAGCTACTAATAATTAGGAATTGTATTTAAAAATAAAACAATTTATTTATTTTATTTTTTTTTACCTTCATTAAAATTCTTTTTCATCAATAAGGCTTGCTATTTTCACATGCTTGCCACAATTCTCTTTTGGTAATTTTCGCCACCTCAACCACTTATTACCCCATGTACGAATACACCTTGTTTTGTAAATACTAGCCTAATGACCCAGCAATCATTGCACTTAAATTTATTTTGGTCCAACCTTGATATCTCAAACACAAATATTGCAATGCAGCTTGTAAACGAACCTTAGTTCCTTTATTAATTTGTTTACTGTCTTTTTCTAGCATATTGTCTAATTTCTCAATTGCTCGTTTCATACAGGCTTTATCATCATTCACATTTATTTCCACTGATTTTACTATTGAATCTACAGCATTATCAACCATTATTATATCTCCATCCTCATCAATCACTATTGTATCTACAGCCTCATTAACAAAATCTTTCTTCATTAATTGCACTGCTGCATCTACAGCTAAAAATTTATAAGTAGATGTTAAAGCAACATTAAACCTTAAAGAATTGGTTAAAGATAAGTAGGAAGTAATAGATTTTATATTTTGTGCTGCTTTTTTTAGATCAGCTTTTTTTTGTTTTAATGTTCTTCCAGAATTATCATAATTATAAGTAGGTCTATCCGCAACTTTTCAAGAATTATTATTCCTAGCAGCTGCTAGTAAAATTTCAAAGTAACTATTGGCTTTTTCATCAATTTCTTCATCTACCCAAATATGATTATTAAGCTCTTCATCAACTGATTTATAATCTAATAAATCATTAGATTAATGCATTGTCTTATTTTTTTTTAAACGCACATGCTCAGCTTTTAATTTTCTCACAGCCTCAAGGTAGCATTTTTTTTTATTTAAAGGGGGCATGATTAATATAGGTTAAATCAAATAAAAATTAAAGCTGCAATCTCTTCACACAATTTTGTTATAATGTTTTTGTGTTTTTTTTTTAAGGATTTATTGGGTGGGTTTTTTTCTTAGAAAAAAAAATAAGCTGGTCTACTTTATAACTTTATGAATATCAAAGATTTATAGATATATATGACAGGCCTACTTTATGGCCTTATGAATACTGGAGCTTCCAAATCTATATATTATGAGACCCAAGTCCACAAAGTTCATGCTATGTCTTGCACTTGCTTCATTATGGTATTTTGCTTCTTATTCCAACACTTGTAAATGATTTTAAGAAAATAAAATATGGGTTTGATCTTACAGATTGAACCTTATCGTTATTTATTCATTTGCTTTTATGCATTATTACATCATTTATCCATCACAATTGACTTTAAAATTCCATTGTCTTGAATAAACTTCTATATTGCAATTATGTAGATCTAGCTAATTACGATTTTACCCCTGCAATATCTAAAAAATGCTAACCCAGCACTAAATCTATATTTAACCAATCATATCCTAATCTTATATAACTGATTTGTGAAATTT